ACACACACACACACACACATCTATCTATCTATCTATCTATCGGGTGCTCTTAAAAAAGCTACGTTTCCCTGATCTTTCCCGGTTACCTATTTGTTTAGGTTCCCTAAGTAGGTTGCTCTGGGCCTACGCCCGCCTCGTTAACCTTCAATTTTGCCAGTGAGAGCTAGATGTTCAAGACCTTTAAGCTGGAAGGCTGAAGCCGCACTTTGTGGCACAACGTGTGTAGGTATCGTTTGACTATATACACCCTCGCGGCTGGCGGCTAGCGGCTAGCGGCTCGAGACCACAGCGTATACAGTGAAACTCGGATTCAACCAAATAAAAAAACCCCCATAAACATCCACCCCAAAAAAACAAAAACAAACAACAACAATAAAAACAACCAACACAACAACTACGGGGAATCCACTTCCTTTTGTTGAATCCAAGTTTTCATTGAATCCAAGTTCGTTGAATCCGAGTTCCACTGTAATTAGTGCGCCCCCAACCCCCTTTTTTCTACACCTCTCTGTGATGGTGTCACTGGCCTTAGAATTGTGTAGTGTATACACTTAAATGAAGGTTTTTACCGGTTTAACAGTCAGAGAGTGGTGTATTGTGTATTTTGTACATCTGATTTCACTGTGCTCTGTATGTTGGGAACAGACAATAAATGAAATATGTTTAAGAAGCACCTTTGTATTGGATCAGTGAGCTAAGGTTGCTTTCAATTTGAATCTAATATCTTTTCTTCAATGCAACAGTAAATCGTAGAGAGTACGACGTATTAGAAATTCGCCTAAGTTCTTCATCACTTGAAGATAGGCTCATTATCGTGTGACTTGGACCACACCAAACATCACTCCGTTGTGGATGGAAAGTCTCTCTCTCTCTCTCTCTCTCTCTCTCTCTCTCTCTCTCTTGCCCTTTTAACTCCCAGTGGAGCACAGGCCATCAACAACATTTCTCCAGAGAAGCATGTCCTGTGCATCCTTTTCTAGCTGTTTCCATGATGTCTCCGCCTTTTCCATTTCCAGAATGGAAAGCAACAAAAGATATTTTAACCAGGAATGGTTAATCACGAAGTATGCACAATTCAACCAAAAAGTCATCAGCACGTTATTTTGCTCAACATAAAAACCCAGAGGACACAGATCTCGTTCCTGTACAAATCACATATGTGAGTCCATTGTCCTGGTTTCCTACGTCGTATAGTCACTGACAATTTTCAGATGCTTTGGAATCTATATTTTCACGTAACCTTTTTATATGTGTGGTTTCACTGTCTTTTCAGTCATTATGTATTTTTAAAAATAATTTGAATCTCAGCGATCGAAATGTTTGATAATAGAGAGCCCCACCCACTTTGCAACCCACTAGACGCCACTGGCATGACGTAATATTAAAACATTTGGAGGATGTGCCTGTTTTTATTATTTGCATGCGTGTATTTTAAGCTGTAAAATGAGGAAATGTTGGTGGAAATTTATTGCCCGAGGTACCTGAGATGAACAAAATGTTGTTTTGCAAATCGGCATGTTGCAATTTCGGGTCTAAAAAATGCATGCGGATTGACTACCCATTACAAACATAAACCACCGCCCAAAACATAGAGAAATGAGCAGATCGAGTAAGGTTTCTAGTTTCCTCCCACATTTACGCTACCACAGAAGCACAAAGTCCTATATATATATATATAAGCTTAGTGCCTAGTTTTGAGAAATTTTACGTAAAAATATTGAGCTTCACAAGTCAAGCTTTTCGAGTGCAATTTTTTGAATATCTTGATAACGACTCCGAATAATTTTACTAACTTGATGGAGTAGATAGAAAATTTAGTTTCTGACCTTACAGTCTTAGTAACTAAAAACGGCCCAAAAAGGTAAAATAGAAT